AGGGAAAGAATTAAATTAAAACATGTACACTATTAGATATTGGTAATATAATTTTGTTTTAATTTTTTCTCTTTGTAAATGTAAGTTTCTTAAAATTTTCAGATGTTAGTTTGACTTTCTTTTCATAAAAAGGGTGGACAAATACTACATAAGATGAAGTGTGTGATTAGATTAATGATAAGTTAATCTCACCATATCTTTAATAATTTTCATAGTAAATTTAGTGTGTATTTAGATCCAAATCTAAAATATGAATGAACACTTTCTCCTCATCTAATTTAATAAAAGTCATGAATAGTAGTTTTTCCATCAATTAATGTGATTCTAGACTGGATGTGCATTAAAAAAATACTCTTTTTGTAATTTTGAGCTCTCTTAAGCTTTGTTTGATTGAGATGAAATATGTGAAAAATAGGGAGGAGAGAGTGAAAATAAGTTGAGAAGTTTGGATAATAAGAAATAAGGAGGTGAGAAATTAAAAGATGGTGGTTCCATTCCCTTTCTCCCTTCTCTTTCTTACATATATTTTATTTCTCATATATTTTTCTTCAATTAAACAATTAATTTTTTACTCTATTTTCTTTTCTTTTATTTTTCTTTCCTTCATTTCACACTTATTTCTTTTCCTTTTTTTTTTTTCGACCAAACACAAGCATAATTTTTTATCACCGAATCAAACACACCACAATTTGTCCTGTCATGTTTTTGTATGGTTGAATAGCTTTTTCTATTGGGTATGCCATTAAATTGGTCAGAAGTCAGAAGTCAGAATATTGGGCGTTTTCGATTGCTTGTACAATGGGGAAGCAAACAAGATCCACAGTAGCTAAATAAATAAACAAACAATTAAATGAAAGGCGTTTTCGCAGACCCACTCATGCCTAGCCCAAAATGAGGCATATACTAAAGCGGAATGTACGAAACTCTTTATTAGTTGACCCAAAATAATTCACCTTCAATAGTAAACCCAAATATATAATTTCCGATATTTCTTTTAACTTGTTTACCTTTATTCATTTTGGAAGAATACAGATTTTAATAGAAGTAGAGGAAAGGGAAAGGAAAATTTCAATAAAGGCTGAGGTCGAGTAAAGTAAAGGACAGATAAAACAATTTACTATTAATCAAGAAATTGTCAATTGATTGAGTAGGATGTATGAATTATTGTGAAATTTTTAGTACCTTGTTTGATTTTCCCAGATCAATTTTTTTTTTCTATTATTCTCTTATAATAAGATTAAATTTTAATCAAAAGTGTGTGTGTTTTGTCCAAATTAGTCTCAAGTAATTAAGCAAAATTAATCTCTATAGCTTGTAATTAAAGGGAGGGGAGCATGAGAATTTAATGGGAAAGGTTGAGCCACACAGAAATGACCATAAGGACCTCAACCATGTCTTGTACACATTTGTGCATACCATTATTGGTATCCCTAAATTCTCAAAGTTATTTAAAAAAAAATGAAGCTATTTATGATAGGGACTAGGGAGGCACCGAAAAAGAACTTTGCTTTTGCGAAATGGGATGAGAGCAATAGCTAAATATGATTGTTACTTCTAATTCCATCTACCAACTCTGCAACCAGCTTTGTTTTGTAACAAATTTGTGAAGAGCCAATATAGACAGTAAATTTCTCAACAACGATAGGGTTGAATTTTGTAGCTTTTTTTGAAAGAAGCACATGGCTTTGCATCGGACGTGTTGTTAGATTTCGAGTAAGTTCAAATGAAACGGACAATTTGAGCGTGTATGTAATGTTTCGGATAGTGGTTAAGTTTTCTTGATTGGAACGCAAAAAGGCCATAATTTTTAATTAACCAATATCCTGTACGTGATATTTTCTTTCATCATTTACTTGTAAAGCCAAGTAGTAGCTGTTAAGGAGTTCAGGTAGAGATCAATACATTGTGATTTTGATTAATTACTCTACAGTATTATGCATCACACACAACATCATGATGAAGAAATTGTTACCGAAAGTGGGGTTTAATCAATACCATATGCAAGTAGCCGATCTGTCTCAAACTTTTGAAGACTGTGTGTAAAGTTTTTGGCAGAAAGAAATAGAGTTCAGTGGGTCCATTTTAGTTACGTCATGTAATTGGAATTATTACTTCAAATGGGAATATAAAAAGGACATTGTCTGCTTAATGGTCATGGAGGTTGAAAGATTATATACACTCTAACATGTGATATATAGGAGTGTCCAGTTGGAAAGGTGTTTCATTTCAAGGATCTCAAACAAGGAATGAAATCCAAGTGATGTGGAAAAGTAGGGCACACTCGAGAAACGTATCTTTGCAAATAAGATACTGTGCTGCACTCATATGACATTAGTTAGGACTTTGGAGTAAAGAAATTAAGACACAGTTCGTTGGAGTAGTAGAAAAAACTAGCAAATGCAAAAGGGAAATTCTAACTATTTTTTTAAGTGCACCTTATTCTTCACGTTTATTGAATAAACATGGGGAGAGTTATGAGGTAATCAAGATTGAGCACGTAAGTTGATGTACAATGACATGGAGAAGGTGATGATAAGAATAAAATAAAAAAGTGGAGTCGACAGTCCCTTCTTGTCCCCAACAGTAGGACCCCTGCTAAATCTGTAATGAGAGTGATGAACACAACGTGTATCATCGCAAACCACACTCGCTAACATTATAATATGAATGATTAAATTCCATCCATATGCACCTCTTCAAATTTTCATTATTTTAATTGGAAAATAGAATCCACGATTTTAAGATTGATATCCAACAGTTTAACACCAGTTGAATCATACATGCTTTATTAGATTTTTATCCTCAAAATTCCATATTTTAGTTCTCCTTGCAAAAATATTTGGTAATTTTGAAGTTAATGTGATTAACACTCATATCAATTATATATATATATATATATATATATATATATTCATTATGTTTTATTGA